CCCCATCCCCCTCTCTCGCTGCCCCCCCTCAGCCCCATCCCCCTCTCACCTGCAGGACGGGCGCTCCCACCTGACGGTGTTCACTGAAGCCGTGCTGCCCGATGGTCGAGTTGATGCAACCCGAGATGTCACTCTGATTTGTCCTAAACCTGGCCACGCCTGGACTCCGGCCTCCCATCCGGACCCACCCATGGGCTTCTCCCTTCCCACGCCTCAGGCCCGGCCCCTCCGCCCCATCCCAGAGCACAGCTTTGTCCGTGCAACCCCTGCTTCGCCGTCCCTCGGACCTGGACCCACCACCCATCCCACCCAGGCTCAACCCCAGTGAGGCACCCTGGAACACGGGGGGTTGACGAGCCACCTTACCCAGGTATGTAGAACACGGGGGGTTGACGAGCCACCTTACCCAGGTATGCAGGACTCTGGACGGCCCGATGGCCCTTGCCTGGGCCCAGGAAGCCAACTCCCCCCGTTGCCCTGGAAGCCTGCTGCCCGGCATGGCCCCTTCTCTCGTTCTCACCACTCTGTCCCATCCCCAGGTGTGCGTCTGACTCCAGGGCGATGCCGGGTGTCCTCCAGACCCACCCCTGTGGAGTGAGAAGTTCAGAGGAAGCCTGTCTGCGGCCGGCTGCTGCTATGACAACGGCAGAGAGGTTCCCTGTTACTACGGCAACACAGGTAGAGCTTTCCACACCTGAATCCTGAAACACTAGGAGGGCTTCCTCCCCCCTGCCCCCCCCCCAGCGCTGCAGGCGCGTCCCACCCTGTTCCTAGGAGAGCCTGAGCCCCAGAATGCCTGCAGAAGGGACCTTTAGATGGGGTGCCCGTACAGCCCAGCTTGCTGATAACCATCGTCCCAGGGAACTAGTAATAGTTGTTTTTAAGATTTTGAGAGAGAGAGAGAGAGAGAGAGAGAGAGAGAGAGAGAGAGCATGAGCAGGGGGGAAGGGGCAGAGAGAGAAGCGGGTTCCCCGCTGAGCAGGGAGCCTGAGGTGCAGAGCTGGGTCCCAGACCCTGGGATTATGACCTGAGCCAAAGGCAGACGTTTAACCGACTGAGCCACCCAGGTGCCCCATAATAGATCTATCTTTACATGTACCCCTACCTTTCGGTCTAGAACATCCGGTTTATTTTAAGTTCACTTTTTTTTAGTAATCTCTCCACCCAATGCAGGACTCGAACTTACAACCCCAAGATCAAGAGTCCCATGTTCTTCTAACTGAGCCAGCCCAGCACCCCTGGGACAGCCCAGCTGAGAAATAAATTCAATGGTGCTTCTACTTCTGTAGTTCCTTTTGTTGTCATGCAGGAGAAAATCTGGGCCCTTCGAAGCGTTACTCGAGCTAACACTGGCACAAAGAGTAAGAGAATCCAGGTCTCCCGAGTCCCAGGGCAACACATTTAAATACTGTCACCCAGGCCACCACCCCCCCATGTCCATGCTGCACGGACAGTAACCTCAGGGGCCTGACTGGTCTCTTTGATCCACCTTTGTCCCAGCAACTGTCCAGTGCTTCAGAAATGGCCACTTTGTCCTGGTGGTGTCCCGAGAAACAGCCTTGGCACATGGGATCACACTGGCCAGCATCCACATGGCCTATGCCCCCACCAGCTGCTCCCCGGCCCAGGAGACCGGGTCCTTTGTGGTCTTTCGCTTCCCTTTCTCCCACTGTGGGACCACGGTCCAGGTAGGAGTGCGGCCACGGGCGGGTGCCCAGGACCACCCCCTGGGAGGGCTTACCCAGCTGTCACCCCACAGGTGGCTGGCAACCAGCTCATCTATGAGAATCAGCTGGTGTCTGACATCAAGGCCCAGACGGGGCCACAGGGCTCCATCACGCGGGACGGCACCTTCCGGTGAGGGGGAGCCTTTCTGGAGCAGGCTGGGCTATGGGCTTGGGTGTGAAGGGGGCACAGGTGAGCTTAGGACGGGCTTTGGAGCCATCTGGGTTCATGTCCGAACTCTGTTCCCTGCTGCGTGATCTCAGGAGAGCCTCTGGGCTCTTCCCAACCTCCCCTACCAGGCAGGGAGGACGGCCCTCAGAGCTGATGGGAGCCTTAAGTGGGGTCTGCCGGCACCAGACAGAACCACTAGGGTACACGGGCGGGCCGGGGTCCTCGGGAGCGCTGGCCTTCATCCTTTCCAAGAACTAAACTCGGAAACTAAGCCCCCAGCACCCGCATCGAAGCCCCTGGAAAAAGCGGAGGCCGGGAGTGTAGTTGTTGCTGCCTCTTCCTTTCAGAGGTCACGAAGCCACAGATGAGGCAGGAGATATGTGGGGGCGGGAGCTCACAGGGGGTCTCTGGTTGAAGGGCGCCCCTGGGACCGCGGACTCCGGTGGCAGAACCACCCTAGGTGCCTAGGACACCAGTGGGGGTGCCCCAAGGGCAGCTGTGCTTGTCATACCTACTGCCTTTGAAGTGCAGGGGCCCCAGCACCAGCCTCTGCCTGGGCGCCCTGTCAGAGCTAATACGTTTGGGTACAAAATTCCATGCTTGGCCCCAAGTGGATGCCCAGGGGTCTTTCTCCCCACCTTACCTGCCACAAGGGCTGGGGTGGGCTGCTTGTGTGCGGGTCCAAATGTCTTTTGCTTTAAAAATTCTAAGTACCTACAGGCCAGAGGGTGGAGGGATAGGTCCGCTATGCTTTAGACCCTGGGATTTAGGAGCTGGGGGAGCTAGCCAGAATTCAGGGCTCCAGGGACTCCCAGAGGAAGGGAGCCGTGAGGGGAAACAGCTAGAGCCCACAGGAGTAAGCGGGCGGCTCCTCAGACAAGGCCTTCCTCTCAGGCTGGAATCCCCAATGCCTGTGAGCACCTAGTTTGTGCCAGGCCCAGTCTCCAGCTGCAGGACGTCTTCCCCAGGGGTGCCCTGCCCAGGTGGGAATGCTCCCTCTCCGAGGTAAAGGGAGGTACCTCTTTATGGAGGTAAAGGTGGATGGGGTAGGATGGGGTCAGCTTCCCTTGCAGAACACGGGGGGCCGGGCATGGGCCCCCACTGAGTGTGTGGTGTCACTTAGACTAGCAAGAGACCCCAGTCCCAGTGGCCCACCGTCTACCACTGCGAGGACCATGACAACACTGAGAGGCTGTCTGAGACCAGCTTGAGCTGTCCTGGGCAGATGAGGCAGGCAGGGCTCAGGTCCCCCTGGTGCGTGCTCGGTGGCATCCGGCTGCCGTGCTAGACCGTGCCCTGCTTGCTGCATCCGCGTAGCTGGTGTCTGGTTTGCTAAGCGAGCTGGCCTCCATGACACTGTGTCCTCTCCCCTGCATGCTCTTGCACCTGACCTCAGGCTTCACGTGCGCTGCGTCTTTAACGCCAGTGACTTCCTGCCGCTCCGGGCGTCCATCTTCCTGCCACCCTCGCCAGCCCCTGTGACCCAGTCCGGCCCCCTGCAGCTCCAGCTTCGGATCGCCAAGGGTATGGGGTCCCTGGGCCTTCTCTTCCTGCCCCACATCCCCTCACACCCCCCCACACAGCCCACCGAGGCTCATGAGCCCCTCGCCCCACAGATGAGAGTTTCCGCTCCTACTACGAGGAGGGGGACTACCCCCTCGTGAGGCTGCTGCGCCAGCCTGTCCCGGTGGAGGTCCGGCTCCTGCAGAGGACAGACCCCAGTCTGGTCCTGCTGCTGCACCGGTGCTGGGCGACTCCGGTGCCAACCCCTTCCAGCAGCCTCAGTGGCTCCTCCTGTCTGACAGGTGAGTGGCAGTCAGGGCTCCAGCTGCCCCAGCGGCTCCCCCCACCTGCCGCCCCTATCCCTCTGCGGCCTCCTTCCTTCCTTCCCAGGTGTTCTTTTGACGGTGACAGCTACAGGACCCGACTGGTAGCCTTGGACGAGGCAGAACTGTCCTTCCCATCCCACTACCAGCACTTCACCGTTGCCACCTTCGCCCTCCTGGACCCTGGCTCCCAGAGGCCCCTCCGGGGATGGGTAAGAAGCTCCGCATGCCTCTTCATGCCTGTTCCCCCTCTGTTCAGTATAAGCTCCAGCACCCTGCGAGCTATAGCAGACAGAGGTCCCAGACAGGGCTTTGTGGAGGGTGGTCAGCCCAGAGGCGACCACAAAGCTTCAAGAGGGAGGAAGGAAAGTAGATGCCACCAACCCTATATCTGCACCCTGGTCACAGTGTTCTAGAGTGGCTTTGCTTCTGACTCTAGAAACAGTGTGTTCAACGTAAATCTGCTTTGAATACTTATAACCGAGCAGCTTCTCTGGTAGGTAAATGGATAAACTTTGGGTATATATTTAGGGTTTTGGGGTTTTTTTTTTTTTTAAGATTTTATTTATTTGAGAGAGAGAGCATGAGAGGGAAGAGGGTCAGAGGGAGAAGCAGAATCTCTGCCGAGCAGGGAAACTGATGCAGCACTCGATCCTGGGACTCTGGGATCATGACCTGAGCTGAAGGCAGTCACTTAACCAACTGAGCCACCCAGGTACCCCTATATTTAGGCTTTCTACAGAATACACAAATTGCCCCCACAGGCCACAAGCTACCCTATAGCTTGTTCTGAGCAGTACCTATCTCACATTGCTACACACAGACCTCTGTGTATGTAAGGAGCTGCATGTTAGTGCACCAGATGTGGACAGACTTCACTGGTTAGCCCTGTTAAGGTGGCTTAATTCTGTCTCTACCGTGTGCTTCTCCTGGAGGCAAGAGACCTTCACCTGCTGGATGAAGATGCATCCATTTGTTGGGCCTCCAGGGGCTGGTTCAGCTCCATCCACGTCTCCTGCTTCTACTCGTTCTGGGAGCTGTCCCTGGCCTTGTTTCTGGAAGCAAGGATACCCTGTCCCCCACTTTGCCCCTCCATCACTGGGGCATCTGCCCCTGCCACCGGGTGAAGTGCCCCCTCCTCAGAAGCCAGCACTCCCCAGGGAAGGGGGGGCTCTGCAGTCAGGTGAGCATTGGTGGAACAGCCAAGGGCTGGGGCTTGGTAATGTGCAGTGTTGCCTGCCTGCAAGAAAATCCCCTGCATACTTGAGCCACAAGGAAAGAGGAAGGCACACCTGCGGCTGTGACCCTCAGGAGGGGCTGCAGTCTTGGTCCTGGTGCACCTGGCCAGACCTCCATCTGCCTGCCTGCCTGGCAGCAATGTGGACTTGGCCTGGGTCCTGGACCCTGGGTCCCTGCCCTGGTGCTTCCTACTGTGGGTCTGAGCCGGCCCCACGCCCTGGCCTTCTCTCTTCCCACCAGGTTTACTTCTTCTGCAGCGTCTCTGCCTGCTCCCCTTCGGAGCTGGAGACGTGCTGCACTGTTTGCAGCTCTGGGCCTGCAAGTGAGTCTGGGCTAGGACCATGGGCACAGGGCGGGGGGGGGGGGGGGGCGGCCGGGGGGGGCCGGGAGAGGCTTCATTCTTATGTCCGCAGGCCTGTTCCTGGCTTCTGGGCAACCAGGGGCTGGAGAGCAGGCTAGACGCCACTCCTCTCCTGCACAGGACAGCGACGATCCTACGCTCCCCACAGAAAAGCTGCCAGGCCCCAGAACCTCGTGAGCTCTCCAGGGCCAGTGGGCTTTGAGGATTCTTCCAGGCAGGAGCCTCCGCCGGGGCCCACAGGTGCCAGGGCTGTGGACCAGCCCTCAGGCCTTGGCCCCCGTGTGTTGCCAGGGGACGCTCGGCCATAGTGCAGGCGGGAGATGGTGTAACAGCAGTCAGCGGGGAACTAAGCAAAGAGATGCAGTCCACCCTCTGTGTGGACAGGCAGCTCTGCCGGGCATGATCACAAAGGTCCAGGGGATGGAGACTGTTTGGAGGGGCTGCGTTCAGCCCTGCAAGCCTTCAAACCCCTTCTCTCTGGCAGGCATCCCCAGGAACGCCACCCCGGGGCCTCTCCTCTGGGTGGTCCTTCTGCTGGTGGCTGTTGCCCTGGTCTTGGGGGTCGGTGTTTTCATGCGCCTGAGCCGAGCCCAGCACAGGAGCTCCAGGAAGGCAATGGAGGGTGAAGGGGCTCAATAAACCGCCGTCTCAGGCCTACCGAGCACGGGTGGAAAGCTGTTTGGGCGACTAGAATGATTTCGTCTTAGAAAGGTGTTCCTTAGCCTCGTCCTTCCTTTAAAAAACGTGGCCTCTTCTACGGGTAGTATGTGCCGCACCCCAGGTAGAGTCGGGGGTCTCCCAAGACTGAACTTGGGACACTTTGCCTCTCAGCAAGGAGAGCTGGCATTCCAGAGAAAACCAGACACGTGAAGGCAGAGTCCCGTAAAACCCTGGCGGAGTCAGAACAGCACCAGTGAGGAAGGGGGAACCGGGAGGGTGGGGCCCCGGCCCCGGGCCTTCTGACTGGGCGGCCTCCAGGCGCGCTGCTCAGCTGCCCTCGTGGCTCAGGGGAGCCCAGATTTCCTGGGGCCGAAAGAGCTCTTCAGTCTTGCTCTGAGCCTCCCAGCTTCCCACCAAAGGATGCTGGGCTACTGCTTTCAGCGCCACTTCCCCCTTTGCCCCCCAGGACTAGGCCCCACCCCGGTTGGCAGAGCAGCCCGTCAGCCCTGATGCTGGCTGCCACGGTGGGTGCGGCCACCAGATAGGTCGGTACCGGTGCTGGTGGGGCTGCTGACCTTCATTTGCCCATGTAGGACCTGGGCCTTCACCTCGGACTTGGCAGCAAAGACCTTTCCAGACGGACATGTAGATCTGGCAGTTGGAAGGGGTGAGGGGTGGGAGTAGGGTTCAGCCTCTGGTGAAGAGATAGAATAATCTGGTAGGGGGGTCAAAATCTGGCCTTTGACTTTTTGGTAGGCATGAGCTGCGAGAGGAAGCAGAGGTGCTCAAGTCAGGCCAGTGGCCTTGACGCTGTGCAGGGACTCCTGCACTCTGGCCTACTACCTCTTTTCCATCTTTAGGATACCGGTCATCCCCTGAGAGTCGCAAGCCAGGCTGCTTCATTACAATCCTGGTTCTGGCTCTTACTAGCTGTGTAATGTTGAGTTACTCAACTTCCCTATAGGCCTGTTTCCTCATCTGTAAAATGGGGAGAATACCCATCCCCACAGGGGTGTTAGAGAAAATTAACAAATAAGGATCCTGGGGTGCCTGCGTGGCTCAGGTCATGATCCCAGGGGCCTGGGATCGAGCCCCGCATCAGGCTCCCTGCTCGGCGGGAAGCTTGTTTCTCCCTCTCCCATTCCCCCTGCTTGTGTTTCCTCTCTCGCTGCGTCTCTCTCTGCCAAATAAATCTTAAAAAAAAAAAAAAAAAGAATCCTTAGAATGGTACCTAGCACTCAGTAAATGTTGACTGTTATTTATTAGAAATGTTTTCTCCTGCCCCAAACTTAATTAACGCTTACTTTTTTTTTTTTTTAATATGAAGGCCAGTTTATAGCCCAGATGAGGAGGGGTGGGGGGAAACGCCACCCCTCAGGCTTTTGCAGCTGGAGGTGGCAGAACAGAACACTCTGGCCAGAAGATCCAGACACTTGCTACAGAAATGAGCTGTGTAGCTTCCCTTATCTGGGCCCATCTTCCCATCTGTGACTGGGGATGGCCAGTCCTGTCCACCTTCCTGGCCTGTGCAGGGGGCAAGAGAATGTACTCCTCAGGGCTGGTGCAAAAGCACGAGGATTCTCAGCTCGGTGTTGGCTGGAGGAGCCAGGCTGACTTGCTCTCAAGGGTCAGGGAGCTGGTGGTTCTACCCGCCCCCCACCTCTCACGCTTCCTCTTCTCACCACTGCCTTCAGCATCAAAGCTCGTGTAAGCATTTCAAACTCCATGGAAGGGTGGTTCTGTGAATCCCACCGACGCTGTGTGTAAAAGCATGATTCTGTAGATACCAAATGGAATCACATTACATAACGGACTTATCTCTCCGGGGTATTTTTTACCAGAGAGGTAGACATCTTGTATTATTTCCTATCACTTTTAACAGATACCTTGTCTTCGATGTTGCGGTTAAGCTGTGAGATATTTTATCTCCTTTTGATGGAAACCAAATCTATTACTAATGCTGAACACTGGTTATCCTCACTTAAGCATGTAATTCTTTGTACATTATTTTCTCAGAAGAAGTTCTTAGATGGAAGGGGCACAGCTTTTGACTGGGCAGCCCTGTCAGGCTCTGTGGGAAGATGGGGGTGCCGGTGCCCCCCCCAACCTTGCCACCACAGATCAGCATCGTGCTAAAGCTTTGCCACCCGAGCATCCTCAGCCAAACAGCATTGCTGATCTAAACTGTACCTCTTTGGGGGTGCCTGGCTGGCTCAGTCGGTGGGGCATGTGACTCGATCTCAGGAGTGTGAGTTCGAGCCCCACTTTGGGTGTAGTGATTACTTAAAATCTTAAAAAATACACTTTCTCAAAAAAAGGTTTTAAATGTACCTCTTTAATTAGAAGACAAGCATCGTTAGAGCCCCTTGTGTCTTAAAAGCCGCCGCTTTGTGTCTCTCATCTGCTCCCCTGAACTTCTCTCCCTGTCCTCAGAGAGCTCTCGCAAGTCGGGGGGGCAGCATCTTCATCTTACAGATTTCCACGGAGTCTGCCTCTGACCTCTTCCTCTGTGGAGCAGTTCCATCTTGTTGTTCCAGAGGATTATGTAACTCTAATTTTCCCCTCACATTTTTCTCTGTGAATATGGCAAACACCGCATTACCCTGTGTGATCATGAAAGTATCCATTGGCTTTTTTGTGATATGTGGCAATTCAGGTGTTTCTCTCCTGTCAAGGGTACACAGGTACAAGAATTTGGATACCTCTGGCAATCAGTCCTTGTACACAGATTTTGTCAATACTTCTGTGTCCAAGGGTTCTGTTGAGATCTCAAAATCTAGTCCAAATTTTGCCCAACATAAGACTCCCCCCACCACCGAAGCAGCCTCCTAGTGCAAGCAGGAACCTGAGCCTTGACAACAGTTGGGTCAGGCCCGATGGGGGTGATAACAAGCCACTGGTGTTGACCTGTAGCAGGAAGCAGAGCTGCTCAGGGGCCTCTCAGGTTTGCTCTCTTCCTGCCCTTCTGGGGTGGGGGGGGGGGGCGGGTAAGGGCTGTGGCTGCAGCAAGGTCAGGCCCGAAGGACTCCCCTACCTCTCCACCGAGCCCTGGGCTCCCTCAACTTCTGCTACGACTGAGATCAAGTGCATGTGGTTTGCCTGCAAGGAAGGGGGAGAATACTTCACAGTCTGTTACTTCAGCTCCAGTAAAATTTGCCTCCCTAAGGTGTGGCCACGTGCCCGGGCATCTCTGTAAGGGCATTTCCTAGAACAGTGCCACTTCTGTCCCAACAGTAGGAAGACCACATGCCCAGATTAACCTTCGGAAGTAAAAAAGTGCCAGATGATATACACACTTGAAAAACATGTTTAAATCCTTGCCGAGCAAACGAGAGGGGTTAAAAAAAATGCACATAAGGCAAAAATAAAAGCAAAAAATCTGAGAAGTAAAACCAGCTTCTATTCTGGGGCTTCTGTGGGACCCTGGTGACCTTGACGTTCCGCTTTAATGAGGACAGGGGACTACAGGTCAAGCTCAGAGCCTGCCAAAGGTGGGGAGTCGAGATCCGGGCCCCCAATGGAAACGGGGGCTTCAGAGGGCCTCATCCTCAGGATGAGAGTGAAGGAAAAACAGGCCCACTGTACAGAGAGGGGCAGCAAGGGGTCTTGCCGTGCTGGATACATTGAAAAAAAAAAAAAGTACTCCCCTGAGAATTACAATTCCCTCTCCTCTGGTGTGTGCAGTCCAAATTCTTAGGCTGGGGCAGAGGTGGGAATGCTCAAAGTTTCAATCGGAAAAAGCTCCACACCTGAGTTTAAAGTGATCCCTGGGCTTTGGAAAGGAGCAAATGCAAATCCTGTCTGAAAAAAATATGATTTCGGCCAGTTTCAGAGAATTCTCATGGTCACAATAAAATGAGCACTTTCCAAACCAAAATCACAAGACACTATAGAGTGAAAAGGTAGGGCACACACTGGGAAGACAGTTGCAACACCTAGACAAAGGATTAGTATAAAAAAAAAAAGTGTGTCTGTATATATCTGAATGAATAAAACTACAAATCAGTAAGAATAAGACAAGCCAAATAGCTAAACAGGCAATTTGTAAAAGATAAATGGCCTTGATGTGGATGAAGATGATCCACTTCATTAGTAATCATGGATGTGAAAATTAAACTTCAAGGTAGCATTATATACCCACCAGACTAGCAAAAAAATTTAAAATGAGCAAAAACTAAGGGTTGGTGAAGGGTATGAAGACAGAATGCTCATCCACGTGGTAAATCACAGTGCAAACTGATACAACCATGTTGATAAAGAACTTGTCGTTTCCTATAGTATTATCTATATAATAAATCCCCTCCTAAGTTAATATCCTGGGAAAAACCCTTGCTCCAGAATTTTCACAGAGATATTGTTTATAATAGAAAAATTAGAAATAATCCGTGTGTCTTATTAACAGGACGTTATCAATGCATTGTGGTGTACTCCAATGATGGAATCCCACAATGAACGAGAGGGAAGGGTTAACCTGTTTGGGTTTATCACTTGCAGGCTGGCCTCCTGAAACAGGGACTTGGCCTCATACAAGGCTCCACGGAGTCTGGCCATTGCCAAGTGCCTAAGGCACTGATCAATTGCAAAGCTTGGGCCCCAGCCCCCTAATTAGGTCAGAAGGGGCTGGTGCTTCTCCAAGCAAGAATGCAATGCAGTAAATCCTGCCGCTGGCTAGCTATGTCAAACACCTGCGAGAGCAGAGTTTGGACAGTAGATCCAGGACTGTATCAAGGGGCAGAGTTGGTGCAGCCTCCCCAAAAGAACGATCTGGCAGATTAGGGCTGGAACCAAGGTTCAGCCACATGATACTTACTGTATCCCTTCCCCTGGTTGACCATGGCGGAGCTGTGCCTCATGATCATGCAGCTCAATGCACCACAGCGCCATGGTGGGCACCTCATGGGGCATCCCATGGCAGGCATTCCAGAGCGCACTGCCCTGCAATGAGGCCACACGGGACCTGCATGGGTGGGATGGCTCCCATCTCTGAGGGGCAGTGTTTCAGCAGCCTGGTGGGAGTTCCGTGCCCATTGCCTTTGTTTGCACAACAGTGAATGAACCATAACCACATGGGTCAACACAGGTACATCTCAAGAACAATACTGAGCAAATGAAGTCAAAGCAAACTGAATGATTTCATGTATATAAAGTTCAAAAATTAGCAACCACACCCCCCCATACACACACACATAACACAGTGGTAATATTCAAAAGAGAAGCAAAGGACTGATCCACCCCAATCTCAGGGTAGTGGCTTCCTCTGCACTCATGGAAGAACACAGAGGGCCCCCCATACTGTCCTTCTTAAGCTAGGTGCTGGATACCTTCAAAGGTATGTTTGAGACACGTTTGAACCTATGTTTCACAATAAGAAATTTAAAAAATGTTGGGGCACCTGGGTGGCTCAGTCATTAAGCGTCTGCCTTCAGCTCGGGTCATGATCTCAGGGTCCTAGGATCGAGCCCCGCGTCGGGCTCCCTGCTTGGCGGGGGGCCTGTTTCTCCCTCTCCCACTCCCCCTGCTTGTGTTCCCTCTCTCGCTGTCTGTCAAATGAATAAATAAAATCTTAAAAAAAAAATTTAAAAAATATTAAAGACCTGTTCCTGCTGCTGAAAAGCTTCAGGTGAGATCTTCGACTTTACACTGCTGGTTGAGACTGGCAACCTCTTCCCCTAAATACAATCTGCTGGGCAGTTCTCCAATCTTCTTGCCCCCCACCATCCACACGGTCCATTCTCCCTGCCCGGCTCTCCTCCTGCAGCCAGGCAGGGGCGCTGCAGCATCCCCTGCTTCCCCAGCCACCCCTCCTCTGATCCTCTGCACTTGCTCCACCTGGTGAATCGTCACCTCTCCCCAGACCTACCTGATGTGCTGAATAGCGGCACGCCCCCTCCTGCACATCTGCACCGCTCAGAACCCATCCCGTGGTCCTGGCCATCCGTCCCCTGCCACCTCCCTCACTGGCCCAGGTTCCAGAGCCTTCGTCTTTGTAACACAAGCAGGTGTCGAGTGCCAGGGGCCACCGTGCCCCCTAGAGTGTCACTGGATGCCAGTGCCGACAGAAGCAGGGAAGACCGCAGCCAACACTG